TGCCCCGACATGCACAGCTGGTTTGAAAATCTCAGTGATGTTATGTTCTGTAAAGTCCAAGAACATACTTTGAATTAAATCAGTCACTATGTCTGATTTCGAGGCAATTGTAAAATCTGGGAAAATACTATACAGCGTCTGTAGTAAAAAATCAACCTGTGCGCCCTTGACACACTCTTCACATCTTTTTCCAAAATTGTTTAACTATTTCGAATCAGATCTCCTAGAAATGGTAAATGCCTCACTTCTTCCCCCTCACCATTTTTTAAGTCCCTGAAAACAGCAGTTGTTAAGCCCCCCCTGAAAAAAAAGCAATCTGGAAAACACCAGATTGAGAAAATATAGACCAATCTCAAATCTTTTCACAGGTAACATTATTAAAAAAAATGTGTTTTTCAATCAGCTGAATAAATTCTTAAGCCCGAAAGAACACTTGGACAATTTTCAATCTGGTTCCCATAATACATACTTAATATAGTTAATACATAATACTTCCCCATTACATACAGGCAAATTATCAGTGCTGGTACTACTTGATCTCAGAGCTGCATTTGACATTGTCAATCACAGTTATACCTCTTGACAGGCTAGGAAACTATAGGGCTTTCTGGTAAGATTCAGGTCATACAGGGAGGGGTTACTATGTGAACAACATATAGGTGACCATACGTCTAATAAGGACATCGATGACATGCGGAGTCCCACAAGGTTCAATTCTTGTGCCACTCCTGTTCAACTTGTGCATGGTCCCACTAACCCAAATAATAAGAACCAAATTGCTCACCACAGCTATGCAGACGACACCCAAATACTTAGCCCTATCGCCTAACAACTACAGCATTGATTCCCTGTGGCAATACATTGATGAAATGAACAGTTATCTTTTTAGTTAAACAAAGTCAAACTGATGTCATTGCATTTGGAAACAAAGATGAAATTCTCAAGGTGAATGCATACCTTGAATTTAGGGGTCATAAACATACATACCACACCAGTCCTCAGGTCTTTACACTGGCTTCCAGTTACATTTAGAATTTACTTTAATGTAGCTACTATTACATGTTTATAAATCACTCAATGGCCTATACCTCAGTACATTGCAGATATGTTCATTGAAACCTAACAGCAGGGGCGATTCTAGGATTTTTTCAACTGGGGGGCACAAGAGGGGCCACAATTATTACAGAGGGGCCATTCTTATGTTGTGTATTTTTGTAGAACTGTAGATATCCAAATCATTTCAAGTTCAGTAAGCTTTAAAATCAGCAATAAACAGTGTTATCTTTTAATAGCAGTTATTTACTGCTCTCAAAACAATAAAATACAATTTATATTAACTTTTCACTACAAAAGTGATAGAAAAACTGTAATAAATAAAATAATCCAATGTATTAGTCCAACTCACAAATAATAATAGAACAGCCTTATTTATATAAATGCATAATTAATCATTCATATAATAAACACACAATTAATGAATTCATAAAACTGTAATAAAATTGTATACAATACATATTTTTCCCCACATCCTATTCAATTTGCATTTCAGCATGCAGTAAATTTGCATTGATGAATAGACCAAATCTGCTTATTTCAAGGAAGGCTAATTAGTATTGAGCATATTGATTGTAAAATTTCATATATAAATACTTTGTTAGATACTTTTTCAAAAAAGGTATGCTTTAGTTTATTGTAAAATATGTGGATCATAGAAACAGTTTAGAATGACTTAATTAATCCAGTGTTATTTTTATTTGAGAATGTTTCTGGATGCAGGGATTAAATTGACAAAAAATTCTTCTGACTGAATTTTTTCAGGGCAATTCATATTCCTGTAACTTTATTTAAATAGTCGAGACCAATAGCGTTTTAAGGGGAGATGTTTTAAACCGATCTATTGCCAGTTTGCGTAATTTAAAAGTTATTTTAATCTACGAAAAGCAATTACTTAGGCTATCTTGACAAATTGGCCTAATCAACCATCTACATAACTTTTCAGTGCATGTTTTTGTTTATCTTATAAGACCAAACAATGCTAAACTATTTTAATATAGTTTGTTTCATGGCAAATCGTTTTGGCTGAGGGAAACGTGAAGTTTCATAACTTTAAATGTCAGTTTTAATGCTCAATAATGTTTCACATTTTTTAAATGAAAACAAAAAGAAGCAGGGTTGTGTTTTATATTTCGTGTTGTTATAAATATATGCAGTGAAGATAGTCGATGTGCGTTAACGTTACCTGAACCACATTTTTTGTGGCCATTAATATGTTTATGATAATATGTGCATTTATAAATGAAATGAGGCAGAGTGGTGTTTTATATCTATTTCGTTTTATTGTTGATGAAAAGTGGCAAAGTTGTATTTTACACCATATTTCGTTTTATTGTTGCCTATACATAAAGAGATAACCGGAGTAGCCACTTGCTGAGTGACGCGATCAAGAACGCGCTGTTCTTCCGCAGAAAAACCGGACTCGCCCGGACCTCGGGAGTTCGTTCTCCGAAGTTTGCGTGCCGTACCTGGTATTGAGAAACGACCAATATTGACCCGCGTTCTGTTTTCTATCATGGGACCGCAGCAAAGGACCTGTAGCCTGACATGCACTTCTCAAAATCTAAGATTAATTGAGTGAACATGGAGCAGTTTTTCCGTGAGCGGGAATTGAAAAACCGGAGTGGCCCATGAGCGATTACAGAATGCTTAGAGTGGAGAAGGAACGTGCTTTTGCTCCACTCCAGGCTTTGCAACACCGTGTGGTTTTGAGAAGCATCGTGACGCGGAATCATGAATTATTCTACTACAAGCTGAAAGATTATGATTTGAATTTTTGAGTGACAGGCAAATAGAAGGGTGGGGGCACACTGGGGGGCCAATCAGTTTTCAGGAGGGGCCAGTGCCCCCATGGCCCCTCCCCTGGCTACGCCACTGCCTAACAGATAACTCACATCATAGGATCAAGTCAGTCAGAAAAAACAAGGGTTCACTCAAAACAATGCGAGTCTAATTTTAGCTATTATGCCACAGGAACCAGCTTCAATCATAAGTGCTCCAACAGTAGCCACATTCAAAATCTGGACTCAAAACACATCTGTGCATTTCCTGAAATACATTTTAAATCATTAAATCATTATTTCTTATAGTGCTTTTTGGGACAAAGGAGAGTGATTTGAGGATGCACACAGACATGAGTGAAAAGACACCAGTACCAAGGTCGCAGGCAGCTCTTCTCGTGTAATGGAAATCTTAACAAAAACTGTTGTATAAGCAATAATAGCGAACAATAATTTAAATAAATCAATAAATGTGTTTTACCTCCTAATGTTCCCAGTACATCATTTTGTATGTCTAGCAACAGCCTCTGTTCAAAAAGAAATTTAGACTCTTAGTATGAATGATCATATACGTTATAATGTAATAATCTTATAGGCTATATATTAGGCTACTCAATTTCAAAAATGTATTCATGTTTTGAAGCCGTTTTAAATACCTGCCGTGCAGTTTGTGCCAGTTCTTGATTGAACAAGTCACAACTTGCGATTCCTGCTTGATCTGCTGGTTGGGTGACATCCGAGGAAAGACAGTGGATTGGATACCCTCCATCTCTGCCTGTTTCACGAGTCTTTTAAAGCCAAACAAGCAAAACTTATATATATATATATATATATATATATATATATATATATATATATATATATATATATATATATATATATATATATAAACATGTTTATAGATCATAATTTAACGAAAAACGATTTAACTCACTCTGTGAATATCCTCGCAGAAGTCATAAAGAAGAAACGCTGTGATAAACGTCTCGGTGCTTAATATTAAAGTCATAATCAAGAAAAATATGTACTGCCCTTTTGCATTTTTGTTTTCAGATGTGTTTTCGTCCAGCTGGCAATAATTGGGACTGGTTGGTACGTTTGATGTCATGTTCCGACAGCGTTTTACAGAATATTCGCATGACAGAAAGAGAAAGTAACCTTTTCCTGTTGTTTCCCGAGGGAGTCAAAGGTCTTGGAGCTGTTCAGCGCTCTTCCGCATGTTAGTTTGTTTCCCCTACTACTACTATAGGCTACATACATATATAAAAAAGTGCTTTCCCTGCTGGAAAGCCCCGTGGTCACAGCGCCGCCCCGCTTTCTATCAGTCTGATAGAATGAGGATTGTCAGTTTGCGATGATGTAGCGCTACGTATACCCTTACGAAAAAGAAGTTTACAAGTGTTCTACTTAGTAACCTATACTTCATTTAAACTAAAAATAAGAAAGTATACACAACTTTTAGTCTACATTTAATATACTTCTCAAAAATATACTTTATGTAGGCTACTTCTCAGAAAAATTGCATAAATATACTTTATGTAGGCTACTTCTCAGAAAAATCCAAGTTGGCCTGTAGCTACTTGTAGGCTACTCAACCTTTTGATCAAGATATACTTAAAAGTATAATTAATTAAGTATTCAAAGTATTTGGCTTGTAGCTAGTTGTGTTTTACTCTTTTGATCGAGTAGCCTACTTACATAATTACATAGTTTTTCATATAATACAGTATAATAAAACTTACATTGTTTGAAAATATTGATATAACGTTAGGCTACTTCTTTTTCGTAAGGGTACGCTATATACAGTTGTTCAAGCTATTTTTCTAGGGAAAAAGATCCTGCAGATACGTTATATTATAATTTAAGGCTTTACGTGAATTTTTATTATGTAGGCTACTTTTTTTGACAATTGCCCTTTATGATTCAAAATCATTTAGAATTTATAAATGTCTGAAACGTAAGATAAATAATAGAAAGTTAAAATAGAAAAACCACACGACCTATGGCGTCGTTAAGGAGTAACGTTACCTTACAAATAGCCAGTCGTTTATTGGGTGACGCTAAGAAATTTTACCCGACAGAAACACTGACCAATTACTTAATACTCCGTCAGAGCTACAGCCAATCAGTGCAGGGAGGGGGCGTGACGTTAGAGGAAACCGGAAGCTCCTGCAGGAGCTGTGTGACCTGAGAAGGTCTCCGGCCTTGTGCAAAAGTTGCACGGTGAGCGTGTCTGTGAACCTCCGCAAGCTGTCTTATTGAAAAGCACAGCAGAGCCGCGATGTTTAAGTGCAAGGCAGCGTGGAATAAGCTGGCTCCGCTGGCCCGGGCCTCATCCTCTTTGTGTCTGCAGAATGCGCGGAAATCAGGCAAGTTGAGATAACGTTAAACGGCAGAAGTCTGTGTGTGAACCTCATTTCTGTCTAGCAGAACAACCAACGGCTTGCACAATTTCTATTGAAACACAAGCCCAGGCACCGGTAAAATAAGCGTTTATTTAATTGTGTGGATAGTCAAACCAGTAAAGCACACTGAGTTGAATTGAATAGATAAACACAACTAAAAGTTTCATTTAATGCTATCCGCGGTCACAGCGCATTCGAACACAATTTCAGCAAAACTCTATGCGGCCATTCTGTACAAACTATTATTCGGCACGAAAAGACTTTATGGGTTAATCTAGGAGTGCAAGTGTTGTCGTAAATTACTCCAAGGTCGTTGAACGTCAAAGTCTGCCTCATACATTTTTTCGCTGTGACAACTCCATGCCGCTGTCATTTAATTGCACCGCAGCTGTATTGTGGTTATGGAGATGGAAATCTGAGAACTTTTTATGCCTCCATTGACAGCTACGGAACTGAAACTTTTACTTTTCAAAAAGTTCATTATAAACATTTATTAGCGAACATAAACAGAATCTCAACCGCACCAACTTGACAAATTAAACAAACTTTATTGGTTCAAACTTGCTGCATAACCTAAGTGCCTAACACGAATGTACTGGTTCTCGCAGGTCAAGAGTAGCATGCTTGAGCTTCCGTTTACCACAACTGGACACATCATGTGATGATGTTATATGTGAATTAAAGCCTATCAATCTGTTCATCATATAAACCGATTTTGTCTCTTCAGAAAATTTTAGATTTAACCGCTCAATTCGTATGGGTCAGTTTTATGAACATTTTTTGAAGCGGCGAAGAGTCTGTTTCCTAGCTGTTAAGTGAAAGACAGAAAGCTCTCAGATTTCATCAGAAAGCCTGGTTAACATTTATGTTCCAAAGATGAACAAAAGTCTTACAGGTTTGAAACTGGAATGAGATGAGGGTGAGTAATCAATGACAGAAATGTTCTAATTTTGGGTGAACTGTCCCTTTAAGATAGACTGACTGTATACTACTATCCTGTATATTACACACTTATCAACTAAATAAATACATGGACATTAAATATTGGTCTTACATTTTTATTTTATTTTTTTAAAGAAAAGAGATGAATAGTCCCTATTACACATTCAAATTTATAGTGTCCGCTGATGCGTTTAAAAAAAAAATACAGTAGTATGTGGTAATATCCATTTTGTGTTGCACTCTTTGTAGGAGTACAGGATATCCTTGTACAGGATATTTTAAAACCTTACCCGATTTTAAAACACTAATGCTAGGCATCACTTGCAGACTTTGTATGTGGTTACAGAGAAAAAATGGGCAGGGTGAGCATCACAAACTAGACTAAAAAACTGTGGATCATATAGTAAAGGTTGTTACACACCTTTTGCCCATGTTTAATAATTGAAGGCATTTTAGAGTTTTCATCGGCCGTGCGTCTCCAAGGAACGAGGCACATGTGAGTTTGTTGTGTTCCGAATGACTTGAAAGTCTGTTAGTGTCTGTTCCTTAGTTGTTAAGCACTATGGGTATAGTTAAAATGTCTTCCTATGCTTGTAAAGCTATTTTATTGTGGGGTTCATGAAGAAATGGATATGTTCTTTTATAAAGAATTAAGAATTTTTGTTTTTATGATTGACTTTTCAGTGCTGAGACATGGAAGAAGGCTGGATATGGTTCAAAAAGCCCAGATGTCATCAGGGCCAACAGGAGGGGACAACACTCTGTATTACGTCCTGGTTGGAGCAACATTTCTGGGGGCGGGGGTTTATGTAAGTACCCCTTTATTATTGGAATCTTCATCAGCCCCATATTGACAACAATATAATGAATATTTATTTCTAGCATAGTTGCTTCAACTTTAATGATATTCACAATCACATCAGTACTGTTCTTGTGTGGGTTGTGGAGTTTGTAAATTGTTAATTTATTTTAATTTTTTTCTGAAGTATGCTCAAGATGTATTGATAAACAATAAATAAACAGCGTTCTTTTGCTCTGCCAGTTAAACTGCATTCTCAGTTGCTTTAAAAAAAGATTTGATGTTAGATGTGCCATGAATCATTTTCAATCAATCATGAATCAATCAACCATAACTGGTAATCATTTACATGTAGCAGACTTTATCACACAAGAGACTGAATCGAAGTGCACTTGGTGAAACAGGCTAATAAGCTTGATATAGCTTGTATAGCAGTTGCTTGTATAGAAGTTTTTCCGCACCTCCGTTTTAGAGTATGGATGAAAGGTTGCATCAGTTTTCTTCAGTGTTGTAAATAATGTTATAATTTCAATTATATACATTCTCACATTTTTTGGTCCTCACTGCTTTTGTCTTCCAAATGTTTTTTTTTATATATATATGATGTTGATTCTCATATTTGCAGAGTTCAAAATGAGTGTTGTTTATCTGTTTGTGTGTTTGAAGACATACCGCACTCTCTCAGGGGACAAAGAAAGATATAAGGAGCGTATTATAGAAATTGCCAGTAGGCCTAAGCAAGAGCCACAAGCAGCTGAGGCTGTAGGTAAGTGATTACGCTAATCAGATCTAGACATGCATCACAGGTCTCATTTAATTAGCAGTTATCGGTTGTTTCAATTAGCATATTTTCATCTTAAAGAGTTATTGATGTGTGCCTCGTGTCTAGTCAACTTATTTCTTAACATAAAACATGTTTTTTTTTGCCTTTTACTGCTGTCTGTAGCACAGATGTAAAAAAATAATCAGTATTTGTTCTTAAATTAGTATCAGAGAAGTTTAATTCAGTGGTCTGTTGTCTTTTGTGTTTCAGCTAAAGTTGTGGCAGAATCAAAAGAAGGTGAGCGGTTATTTCTATGCACTGCTATATGTGCAGTTTGTGCACATTAACAGCCTTGAGGACAGAGCACTGCAGGGCATTACTTAAGCCTTAGCTTAAAAATTTCAGTTATCAGTTAAATATGAAAGTTTTTAAAATTCTAATTTTGATTGGAAAACAAAGATGAAAACGTGTGAGATAACCACCAATACTGTTGTGCTCTGAGGTATCATGGCTCTGGATTGTATATGTCTATGTCACTGGGGTACACATAGGTATTAATCGATCACAGTGCACAGCTAACCCAATACACTCGGACATTCTCTGCTTCCACGTCCATTGAAATGCATTGTCAGTGCATTTCAGTGTCTTCATTTTGGTATGTGCATACCATAGCATAACATTGCTTAACTATCTCTGTTTTATCAGAGTAAAATCAGTTGATTTAGTAAAAATAATATAATCTGAAAGAGGTCATATCAAATATTTTATTGTTTTATTATTATTTTTTTATATTTATATTTTAGTCAAGATTTGTTTTGATAGAATCATTCCTAATTTAGTTTTTCAAATCTTACTACTTTTAGATTTTGGCTACTGTAGTGGTTCACAATGAGTTTTTAGCTAGTATCAAATAGTTTTTTTTTTTTTTTTTTTTTGGCTGGACAAGTTGTTCTATAAATCAGTTTTCAAATTCCATTAAAGGAAAGTCAAAGAAAACTTAATTTCTCATGATAAGAACCATTTTAATTTAGCATTTAATTACCCAAAGAAGCCATTTTTCTTCTATAAGGGCTGAAAAAATATCCATTCCATGTCCCCGGAGTGTGTATCTGAAGTTTTAGCTCAAAACAAATTGGCGGCGCTTTGGGTGGAAACGTGCAGATTGCGGCATAGTAATATTATAATAAGATCCCCTTCCTACGTCAGAAGGGGAGCGAAATCTGATCGGCTAATTTTTTGTCATGCTTGCAGAAAAAAATCATACCAAAACAAAAGTTCCTTGGTTGTCACTTTTCACATGGTCTGGATTAGTAGATGCACCGGGGACCTGATTGTAGCACTTAAATAAAAAAAGTCAGATTGTCCCCTTAAATTCAATGTATTAAAAAAGTGAATGATTTGTCACAAAAGACAACTATATATATATTATGCAGACATCAAGAGTAGACTTTAACATGGTCTTTATTCATAACATGCTAGGATCAACAAATGCACTCTTAGTATTAACAAATCCAGGGTTTCTTTGATAAGTTGTGTGTACAATGCATATACTCTACCGTTCAAGTAAGATTTTTTTTAGTCATTTTTAATTGACAGTAAAGAATTTTACATTGTTACCTTTCCACACAAATATTAGGCAGCACAACTGTTTCAATATTGATTATAATAATAATAATAATAAGTGTCTTCATGAGCAGCAAATCATTATAGTAGAATGATTTTCTGAAGGATCATGTGACACTGAAGACTGGAATAATGATGCTGAAAATTAAGCTTGGCATCACATCTATAAATTACCTAAAAATAAAAAAAATAGTAATATTTCACAATATTACTTTGTTGAGACCGCATTTCATATAAATTCAATATCAAATGAATGCTGCCACGGTGAACATAAGACTGGTAAAATGTACATGAATTGACACTTTCAGTTATGCATGCTTCTTGGTACACTGCATATACTGCATGTGACTGTCCGTTTAATGTTCCTATTAACTGTCTTTTTACTTGTGTAAATGTCATCTTTAACTCCCCTAATATTTCTGCATCATATATCCACGTGCCTCTAAATAACCTCAAATAAACTTTAAATAACTCTAAATAAGCATCTTCCAGGAATGGTAATTGTAAATTGTTAGCTAGCTTTAGAATTGTCACCATGACTTTCCACCTCTGCTCATACATGGTGAACTGTCGGTCTCTATATCAAGTGTTTGACTCTGAGCATTTGTTTTTGTGTGACTGCCTTGTGGGTAACTCCATTGACGTTCCTCACCCAACCAATTGACTATCCATTGTTTTTATTCTAAATCACATTTACTGTGCTTTTTCGAATTGAGAGGTTAAAATTGTACAAATTGTATCTGTTTTCTTTCTGCCGTTGGGCCAAGATTGGTTGGATTGAGGTGATGATCTATGAAGTTGTTTACTTTTATCCTTGATGGATATGCCTGAGGCTCTTCTTCATGTCCTCTTCTTTCACTTGTCTGTTGTGTATTTTGCTTCACACATTGTCTGTCACCAACCAAACATTTCCACCACAAGAACACCCCTATTTTTGTCCTCCTATTTCTGTTCGTCCTACTAACTCTTTGATATTTTTAAGAGAGCTGTTTTGTCTTGCTTTAACTATTTTATTTCTGTTAAAATATTTGGAAAGATTTTTAGATGGCTTGATGCCATTTGTCTGGATTGTCTGTCCTGTCCTGCCTGCTGGCACAATGAAGCTGAAGTTTTGGAGAAACTCTCATCTTCTGGAAATTTTGAGAAAAAAATTCTCATATTCCTCATTCCTCAAAAAAAGTTTCTGTTGGACTTCTTGAATGGCATTGACCCAGCCTCAGAATCAACTTTCAGCTACGAGTGTTAAAATAAAAAATGGCAAAGAGGAGCTTTGAGTTTTTTTTTTAATAAGAATCTTGGAATGAGTTTAATGTAAAGGTAATGAAGCCTGAGAGAAGATTCCTGAGAATTGATGCATGTCATGGTAACATGGTAGTCCTTCATAAAACATGAGGATCCTGTCATGGAATGTCACACAGAAAATTTTCCAACTAAGGAAGGAAGTGGATGAAGACTCTGACACCTTCACATTCACCCATAACTATTGTCCTTTTCCTTATGTTTTTACCCATTTCTTACAAATTCATTCCTGATCCTGGATCCTTCATTTTTCCTTTTTCACCAGAAGAACCGTACTCGTACAACCTATCAAAGCTCGAAAATGTTAGGATTCAAAGCAATGAAAAATGCTTGGTATTAAGTCAGTTATCTACTCATAATCCTGCTTTAGATGTTGCAGCACCTCTGGAATCCATATCCAGAGCCAGTTATAAGTGCTAAAAGTCTAGAGATGAGGAAGATGGAGTAGATTGTTTTGGTTGTGGCATCTTCTGTCTCAGTCAAACAGTCTTGTGTTTTGCTTGTCTGTGGCATTAGAGCCTGTTGCTGAAGAACCTATTCCAACAGAACCTTCAGTTGAAGAACCTCCAGTAATAGAAGCTATTGTGGAGTCTCCTGAAGCTGAACCTGTTGCAGAAGAACCCGTAACTGAACCCGTAGTGGAAGAACCTGTAACCGAACCCATTGTAGATGATTCTATTCCGGAACCCATCGTAGAAGCTCCAGTAACGGAACCTGTTGAAGCCTCTGTAGCGGAATCAGACATTGAAGTCCCTGTAACGGAACCTGTTGAAGAAGCTCCAGCGGAATCAATCATTGAAGTCCCTGTAGCGGAACCTGTTGAAGCCACTGTAGCGGAATCGGTCATTGAAGTCCCTGTAACGGAACCTGTTGAAGAAGCTCCAGTGGTTCTACAGAGTGAAGAGCCCTTAGCTCCTGTAGTTGAGAGTGGTAAGATTGACACATCTGCATGGAAATCCAGGATTTTTAAGGAGGAAAATTCTTTTATTTGGATATTGAGGTTAACATCTTTCCTCTCCTCTAACATCGTGATTAAGAAATCGAGCCCACACCTGTAATCATCGCTGAGCATGTTCCAGAGGCTTCATCTGTTTCTGAGAGTGGTAAGAGTCCAGTTTTGACTGGATGGGAATCAGTTCTGCCGTATAAACATGTTACCGATAAAATATACTGATAATTACTTCATTGACACATATGGACACCTATTCAAAACCTGTTATTACACTTTTTGGCTACATATGATCTTTTTTGAGTTGTTTGACTAGATTGTGTGGTCTGTCATTGGTTGGTTATTTCATTTATCAATGAAGATCATTTGTTTTTCTTGTTTATATAAACCACATTGTCCTCACTTCTTTTCAAGGTCTTATCTTTTTTTCCCCACATTTCATGCTTTGAACGTTAGTTGTGTCAAAGTGTGACTGATTTAATGCTAATTACTAATGCTAATTGTACAAGGTCACACTCTTATGACCAATTTGCAGCCGTGTTGCCAGATTATTCGAGGTATTGTTTGCACTAATATTACTATAAAAATGCTAATCTCTTCCCTCATCTAGCTCTGTGTTCCTGAGATCACTCGCATATTCTTGTACAGATAATGTTAAGCGCACTCACATGGCTAATTCACGATTCATGTCAAGTTATTCATAAACGCTTGTATGTGTGTTTGTACTAAATTTGTCTTTCTTTAACCAGCTGTAGATCCTGAGCCAGCTTCAGTGCCCCTTGAACCCACTGCTGCTCATTTAGATGTCCCCGAACACGCTCCCTATCTGCTGATTGGTGGAGGCACAGCTTCATTCGCTGCAGCTCGGTCCATTCGGGCACGTGACCCTGGTGCCAGGGTGAGTCTGTCAGTTTTGTAGTTTGTCAGCATTAACGCTCAAGTATTGTAATCATAAATACTTCAATACAATCACTTAAACAGGTTTGCCAAGAACCCCCAAATATGAGGATGAGGGACCTTGTGTGAGGCATCCTTTCTTAAATATAAAGACACACTTTTCCTGTATTAATAGAAGTAATATAAAAAGTAATACAGGATTTGTGATATTGTAAAGACAACAAAATGAAACCATCATTTAACTCCCGCTTATCATCCTCGTTATCGGCATTAGTTTTTTAACCCAATTTTCTATGTCCTTCTAAATACACCACTAACCCGATTGTTCATTCATCCCTTAAAATTTGGAAACAGTTTCATCATCATTTTAAATTAAACACATTGTCCACCTTAATGCCTATTTGCGGTGACCATCTTTTTGTACCTTCTACTGTGGATTCAACTTTTGAGTGATTAGCGCAATACTCTGAGTGAACTCTCTGCTCCTCACCATGGTGCGTCTCAGGTGCTGTGGTAATCACTCCGAAGAAATAGCTGTGCTTCGCCTTCTGAGAATATAGTTCCCAGCATGTACATTGTTTGATAGTGGCTGTGTCTCATGTGACCTTGTTATTTGTACACACTGTGACTATACAAGTTACAACATATAAATAGGAAAATGTTGCCGTTATTTTGTCACTTATTGGGAGCAGTATGCTAGCTGGAGCCATTTACTTCCAGTCATTTTATAAAATGTGGAATCCTATCCTTTACTTCGTTGAGACTGTACCTTCTTTGGAGATTTGAGGGTTTTTTTTCTCCCCCTTTTTTCTTTTTCTTTTTTCTTTTCTTTTTTTATTTTTTGTAGGATCATTTGGGACTGGTATAGTTATTCTGTATATCTGTATAATTTTTTTTTATTCATTTCTATTGATGTTAAAAAAAGAAAAACAGCAGGTTGGGATGGTTTTCATATATGTAATGCACATATTGTCACTTAAAATAAAATGCTTTTATATTGTCAATATACTAAAGAAATCTGTTAAAATATCTGGAAATTATTTACTTTTTATGCTTTTAAGTTTCTGAGATGAACTTTTATTAAACTAAAACTCTTAAGCAGACTGTTTTGTTTTTTCCACTGTTAAAAATTAGTGATAGCAGTAGAATAATCACAGTGAATCCATTAATCTGACCAGTATTTGGAAAGCAGAAAGAGTAATATAATCAAATTTGGTGAATAATATATAAACATCAAGTTTCATTAAATGTATTTAATTAATATCGTCGGTGCACAAGTTTGCGTACATTTTAAAATACATTTCATGGAATCTTTTAGTTTTCTTCCAATTTTAAAAATGATAATTATGAACCACAGATGTGGCCATTCTAAATCCCATCTGCAAAACATATCTATGTATTAAAGTGTGTTTGTCCTGTGTGTTTATATACAGGTCTTGATTGTAACAGAGGAGTCTGAACATCCCTACATGAGACCCCCTCTCTCTAAAGAACTCTGGTTCTCGGATGACCCCAAGGTCACTGAAACACTGCGCTTCAAACAATGGAACGGCAAAGAGAGGAGGTGTGTGACGAGTGTTCCAGACTACGTAAACCAGACCTAACACTGATACACTGACTTATTTGTTGAAGGGTCATAATTGCATACTTTTTCTGAATTTTTTGTTCAGTCTGTTTGCATATATCGTGATATTAATTTATTTCTATTTGTTGTAGTATTTACTTCCAACCTCCCTCGTTCTACATCAGTCCCGCGGATCTTGCTAAAGTTGAGAATGGGGGTGTGGCTGTGCTCACGGGCCGTAAGGTGAGAAACTCTGACATCAGCGTCTCATGTTGCCCTCTTAATTATGTCCACTTAAACAAGTCTGAAAAATGCTGAAGTTGCAGCAGAGGAGGACATGTTTTATGGATTGCTAAATGTGTGTGAATGAGTTGTCCGAATTATTACCCTGTGTGTGTTTGTACCTATGGTGTAGGTGGTACACATGGATGTCAGAGAAAACAAAGTCAAACTGAGTGATGGTGCAGAGATCTCCTATGAAAAGTGCTTGATTGCCACAGGTAAAACACATAATATGCACGTGAACACATATGGTTTATAATCTATTGCTGTCCTGTAAATTAATATTGTGAATGTGTATTAGGTGGGGTGCCTAGGAACCTTCAAGTGATTGAAAGGGGAACAGAGGAGGTGACGAAGAGGACAACCCTCTTTAGGAAAGTATGTCTTGCTGAAGATATTTTGGGCAGAGTGGAGCAGTAGTGTTCAAATTAAATCCCCAATTAATATGTTTGTCCACATGAAATCAATACTGATCCCATTTTTGTTCTGAATACATGTTCCTGGTTTTATTGTGCACAATTCATTGGTACATGTTATTCTAAAGGGAAAGGGGTTTTCTTTATCAACATGCAATAAATCACTCAGACACTGAAAGCTTTTCTTTTCAGACGATGGAATAATCCTGTCTTGCCCCATTTCTTTCCTTGCTGACTAACTATCTTATTTCACCCAAACAAAGGATATTAAATGGGTTGTGATGTGAATGCTGTTTCATTTTGATTTTAATATTTGTCAATTGACTGAAATGCACGTGATTCATGATCAGATTATACCTGAATATACAATGTCGGTACAGTAAGAACCAAAATAGCATGCTTCTTTAGATGAGCTCTTTTACTAAGTGCCGATCCTTATCATCTCATGAGATGTCAAATTCATAAATGTAAATGTGCAGAACACCACTGGAGGGCACCCTTATGTTAATAATGTCGCTGTAGCATTTTGCAACACCACTATAAATTGCAAGAGTAGTTTTTTTCCCCCTTGTTAATCAAAGGACTAATTTACTTTAAGTCTTGTGTACAGTTTTACAAACATCACTGTTGGAGTGAATATTTTCCTTGATATACATTTTCCTTCTATGTTGCTCACTTTCTATATCTTGTTCCTACAGTCCTGGAAAAAGCAAGGGAATTAAGATTGTGGGAAAATATTTAATGTAAAGTTCTATATTAAACAAAGTTATTATGTTCAAGTGTAAAACAAGTTTTTATCGTTATACTTCAAATCCTAAAAAATATGTAATAACTGGAAAACTAATGGAAATGTGTTGGTTTTGTTTGGTAGATTGAAGATTTTAGATCTCTAGAGAAGATCAGCAGAGAGGTGAAGTCCATTACCATCATTGGCGGAGGTTTCCTCGGTAGCGAGCTTGCATGTGCCATGGGTCGCAGATGTGAGTCCAAACCCTCAGCTGTCATTTAGATGTGGAAAAAAATCAGGCCAAAAGTGTTGATTATAAAAAAAAGATTCCAAAAATGATGTAGTTCTAATTACATTATATTGTGTTCTGAAATGCTCATAATCAGATTAGTTACTTTTTTAATTACATGATCACATTATGTGGATGTGTTGTGGATTTGCAAACACAGAACAGTCTATAGTCTATAATTACATGTAAAATAGAATTTTCTCAACACTGCATGCATATCTAATCAACTCCTGACTAACACCTTTGAATTATTATTTGAATTATCACTCAGTGAGTCATTTAACATTGTATTACTACTGTATGTCTTTAGAAGGCTTTTTTCTTTCAAACTGATTAAATGCACAATTGCCATTTTGTATTTACAATTTTTTTATTAATATATATATACTTAGCCCCTGAAATATTAAGTTAATAGTTAGTTAAGGCATTCATTTAACCACGCATTTGTATGTCCGCAGTTTCATTATGTTGGTAATAGTCACATGGTCACACTTTGTTTTATCTTTGTGTTAAAGTGTTTTAAATGGATTGTTTTTATAATCTAAGTAATCAAAAAGTAGTAAGATTTTATCATATTTAGAATGTGTCATGTAATACATTACATTATAGAGCACATTATTAATTACAAGTTAGGTCATATCATTTAAAATCAATAACTGGCTGAAATTATGTTTGTGTATCTTGTTATAAAGGTTGTGATTGGCTTTCATATAAATATGGATTTTGTTTAAAAAAAAAATTATTAATGAAACAAACTACTGAATTTTCCCCTTTCCTCTGTTTTTGCCGTCGCTTTCTTTCTCTCTCCCTCTTATAGCTATGGACCCTGGTTTAGAGGTGATCCAGATGTTCCCAGAGAAGGGTAACATGGGAAAAGTACTGCCTGAATACTTGAGTAACTGGACCACTGAGAAAGTTCGGAAAGGTAAGAGAATGAATAAAGGACACTGGAATTGCTTCCTTTAACTTTAAACTTTAAATTCAAGAAATATGCATTTTGAAAAGTTGACCACAGCTAACCTTTTGACCATTCTTAGAGGGTGTGAACGTTATCCCAGATGCTCTAGTGAAAAATGTGAGCTACAAGAATGACCAATTGGAGATCAAACTGAAGGATGGTCGAGTGGTGAGTCTGCTTTTCCATCAGTCAATCATAACATGGCCTGCTCATCTATTTGCTAATTACACGGTTTTATAGTTATACAGTATTTGTATTATTGTGGAAAATAAAAACAATGAGATTTTTTTGTGTTGTTTTAGGTGAAGACGGACCACATTGTGGCAGCTGTTGGTTTGGAGCCCAATGTGGAACTTGCCAAATCAGGCGGGCTGGAGGTGGACTCTGATTTCGGAGGGTACCGTGTTAACGCTGAGCTCCAGGCTCGCTCCAATATCTGGGTGGTATGTAGGACTAAGGTTTTTTCCCAGCAAAACTTACGAAAGGGCAGAGAGGTGGATCCTATGCTACTAAAGTGTGGGTATTTAGACACTTATGTCCTAAAGAATGAAGGAGATGAATGGCTCAGTTTTCATAGGAACTGTACTAGTTCTGAATCTCAATTTTGATCCGATAATCAAGTTTCCTCTTTGTTGTTTTCTAGGCAGGGGATGCTGCATGTTTTTATGACATCAGACTGGGCCGCCGGCGCGTGGAGCACCATGATCACGCGGTGGTCAGCGGCAGACTGGCTGGAGAGAACATGACTGGAGCCAACAAACCCTATTGGCATCAGTCTATGTTCTGGTAAGCACACATCTTCAACAAACTCACCTTTTTAATGTGTTTTTAATGGCATCAGGATTTCTTGAAAGTACTTCAATTTCAAGGACTAGAAAGTATTTGAAACATAAGAAAGTGAAAGTGCTTGAATTAAACATGAACTAAATCTGCTTCTTATAAAAATTGGTCTTTATGCACTGCCAAAGCCAGAAAGAAACATCACTACCAAATTGGGGGAAAATTGGAAAAACCTAAAAATAAGCAGCTTGAGCACATGGATCGTAATTACGCACACAGGTAGCCCTGCAGTGATGAACACATGAGAGGCATAGAGCTGTTTAACTAGTTCAATATCAGAGAAGTGCAAATTAAATGTTGCTTGGCTCATTACTGAGCTACATAAAAATTGGCTAATCAAAATTCCAATGAAAAATGCTTAGTGTTGTCAATTACAGAGGAACTGGGGAAACAAATATATTTCTGCTGTTCAATAAGTGACATCTACTGTCAGATTGAAAGTAAATTCAGATTCAATTCTGCTGTTTTTTGTTCAGACCAATCTGCAATGAATATTCTTAACCCATAACCCATATTCTTACATAGCTTATGAGCAGTGTTGTAAAATGTCAACTGGTGGATTGATAGGAAGATAATTTTGCTTTTAAAAGTGTAAATAATAAGGTCTCTTGAATTTTGTATTAATCATATTTTTAAATTAATATGTATAATCTTTTAGGCATTTTGACTCATCCTTTTCTTATAAATTGGTTTAAATGCTAAAATTAGTTGTTTTTATTACCTACACCTACACAAGTACAGTAGGTCTTTGATACTGTCCAGATTGGCAGTAACAAGCCCACTTTATTTTCTTTGTTGTGCTTGATATAAAATAAAAGGAGATTTTAAAAATTCATTGAAAGTCCTTGAATCTGGCGTTTATGATAGAGTGGGAACCCTGCCTGAAGCAGAATGGGGCACTCACAATTTGTCCTTTCTTCAGGAGTGATCTAGGACAGATGTTGGATATGAAGCCATCGGTATAGTGGACAGCAGTCTGCCCACCGTGGAGTGTTTGCTAAAGCCACGGCTAAGGACACACCAAAAGCTGCAACCGTACAATCAGGTACACAAACATTTGCTAAAATTTTGATATTGTATCCTTTTGTGGTATATTGTGATCTTTTGTGGTACTGGATGGCTTGAGTATCTTGAATGGGATTAATGAAGTATCAATCATCATCATTTGCATTCAATAGCAAATATATTGTGCTTTTAACAATGTAGATTGTTTCAAAGCTGCTCTACAGTGATAATAGGAAATTAAAGTAACAGGGATTGTTTTGGCTTTATGACAGCTCTAGAATTAAGTTATTTTCCAGCTAAAGTTAGTTTTAATTGATTCACTTATTAACTTGAGGGTTTGAATTTACTTGGGGAGACTACAATGCACTCTCTGATGCGATGCTATAGTAGATGATGGTTGCATGGTCATACATTTCTCCTTGATATTATCAGTCTTATAAGTGAACAAGGTCATAAAGTCCTCCAGTGTTGCTTGGAAACTCCTGGGCTTGAAGCTTTATTTTTCCGTTAGTTTTAGCAAATGTTTCAAATAAATACTTACGGTTTTGTTTATTTTCTTCTAATAGGGTTGAGAAATAAGCAGATCTAGCAGTTTTTAAGGCCTCTCTGTAAGCAATCGAGCTCTCCTTCCATGAAATGCAAAATGAAATGAAATACCTCTAGTTTAGTTTTCTTCCAGTTTCGCTCCATTTTTCTGGCTGCTTTCTTAAGGGCCTGAGTGTGCTTGTTGTACCACGGTACTATTTTTTTTTTTTTTTAAATCTTCTTTAAGCGCAATGGAGCAACTGTGTCTAAAGCAGTTTTCTTTGTTTACAGGCACTGGAATCCGTTCCGAGAGTGAGACGGAGGAGGTTGCCGGGGCGTTTGAGGCAGG